AAGTTTAATTTGCCTGTAATGGACGAAGTGACAAAATAAGACTCCATTTCATCTATGGTATTTCCCTCACAAGTTGATGATAGGGAAGTTGTGTAACATGTAGACTACTAGTTTGGTGAACATGTAAAGGAAAATGTGATGACAGTATTTTAAAGAAAGGTGGGAATTCTTAAGGCAATACTAATCAAGGCAGCCGCACTACATATACCAACCAAAGTATAATAGCATTATTGGTGTAGGTCAAATTCCTGCCAGCCGCCTTTTAGACGAAAAATAACATATGCAAATGATAGAGCGAGTGATTCTAAGAGTTCATAAACCTTGATGTCTCCAACCGTCTCAAAATACTGTGAGTTTTCAGAAAAGTAACGAAAATACTCCAAGGAAAGGGGGCCTGGGGGCTTGCCCCTGGTAGGTAATACCCCCAGGGAAGTGGGCCCGGTGGCATGTCCCCGGTAGGGGGTTAGGAAGGTATGCTTCATTTGTATGGCGAAATACCCCCAGGAAAGGGGTAAGGAATTACCCCAGGGATGGGGTCCGGGTTAGGTTAGGTTAAAAAATTTCGTTGGGATTTCGGCAACACTGACACCGACATGGTGCATCTTGCAGTGGTGCCGGACTCTCATTCGGATTTTGCATTTTTTTTTTTCACAATTTTTACTTTTGAATCCACTATTTCTTCCATGTATGGCCCCCCACCCCCCCCTTCAACCCCTGATTCTCCACGGGTCCCCCAAGATTAAAGGTGGTAAAAAAAAAAAAAATAGGTGCGGCTGTCTTACTTAGAATTACCATTCTTAAAGAGTAAAGACTCTAACTTGGTCACAAAATTTATTCCATCTCCATGTTGCCGAACACCAACAGGAAGTATTGTCTTCATCTCAGTATGCATGAGCTGTGAGCGGTACTTTCCGCGATCTTTTTCCTTTATTTTGCATAACTTTACTTTGACGTCGGCAAACTAGTTTGGATAAGTTAGCGAGAGGGATGCACAGAAATAGGGGGAAATGGACATCACCTTCCTATTGAGTATAAAAAAGTCATAAACACAGGTGCAGCTGCTTTAGCCTCATATGTACTGTGAAATAACAAAAATATTTGCTGCATATCACCACCTTACAGAGTTCTTAATGTCTGTTTTCTATAAGTTAGCACAAATTGCTTATAAAGAGGGGGCACAGGGGGCTGCATCCATTTAAAGATTAACCAGAAAAGATAAAATGACATTCAGTGATGTATGAAATAATCTGCACAGGCTAAGAATAATGTCAGAAATTAAGAAAATAGGTTGCAACTAATGCTGCATGTAGACGAAGTCCACGTTAATTGGATGGGGATTTGGGAGCCCCTGGTAAGGAAATACATCGATCAGGTTGTTGTCTGGGGGCGAACCCCTTAGGTCAGGAAGGTTTTTGGTTCATACGACGATATTTGTCAATTTCCCAAGAATGTGTAGGGACTTGTCTCAAAGGGGTTTGGTCATATTGGAAATGATTTCCCAAACTTTCATTTATAGCATTTGCAATGGAAATGGCAAGAGATTTACATATCTTACTATGTAAATAATTGAAACAAATTTTTAGTCTCAAAGGATTGTAGTTACTTTTGTAAAAAGCTAATAATACATTCACTATTTCACTTGCAGGGGAAAACAGCAACAAATCATGCATATTACACCATGAATGATTGAAACAAGAAACAAGAAATGATAATTGCTAGGTTAGATGGCTGAGTGAAACTAAAGAATTACCATAATATACAGTCATTTTACAAGACCCAATAATAACAGGTAAAACTTTGGTTAAACTCAGGCAGGTAAAGGCATGTATTAATGTACACCCCCTATCACCTAAGCAATTGTTTGTCCCAGGGTAGGGTGGAAAAGATCTCATCTCAAGATATGGCACTTGTCAGCATGTGCCATATCCTCATATATGGTGCCTGTGCTAGAGTCCGAAAGATGCAAAAGTCATTGTGTCACAGGAGTCATTATGAAATTTTACCAAATGTTTTCCATTACTATTTATATACAACAAAATTATTGTTACAGATTATGAAGTGAATTTTATTTGGATTCAAAAGTTGCATTTTGATAGTGTTGGTTTATAAAATAAGATACTCTTAAAAGATTTACAAGATATAAAAGGCATATCATACTTTGTAAGGGTTAAACTAGCTAATTTTTTGTCTGGCTGCCAGAGTCTGTTTGCTAAGGATGTTATGTGAATACAGCAGATAAGCCATTATGACAGTTTGCCAACACCGTGACCTGACACCTTTTTTTCATTTCTTCAATCTCTTCTATTTAGATTTTTTTTCCAAGTGTAGTAAAACAAAATCTTATTCTAGGTAGAGCAACATGATGAAGCAGCAAGCCATCAGCCCATTGCAAAGAAGCCCCAGCGGCCACCCTTCATCAAAAACCTCTTCCTTGGAAGGTAAGTTACTTCTCCATTGGTGAGGAATGTGGTTAGGCCTGAGTGTTTATTGTAGTTCCCCAAAATAAAGAACATGATTTATGTTTTATTTATAAATTCCATAGTATGTGTAGTATGACCCACAGCTTCAGATTTCAGCTATGTACGGAATGTGTTAAGAGAAGTGCACACCAAGTTAAATTCAATGTCTTGCATGTTAGCCAACTCTTAGCTATCACTGTAGACAGCATCATTAATCTTTGGAAAGCACTCTGTTCACAGAAATGTAAAGTGGACATATGACATGAACACAAGTATCAGTTGAAAAAGTTCACAAAAAGTGTATTACATCTTTTATAGCATAAATATCTCTACTGATCATTTAGATAGTTACCATTTATTTATATATTATATTTAGATTTATAATTCTTTGTGTCAAGTTATGGAAAACATCTGTAGCTGTCTTTGAATACTTTGAACTTGTAGTATTTATAGAAAAGTTCATGTTTTTGTTAGTAAATAAGTCTTGGGACTTAAAAAGAGTGAGTGGATTTAGAAAATTTCTATTTGTTTGGAAAATGTGATGTGATATGAAATTCATGAGGTCTTTTCTATATAACTTGTTTATTCAGCCATATATAAAAATGGTAGTGTTTATGCCATTCATCATTTATTATTGAATCCTACTGATGCATTTGTATCCTTCCTTATGGTAATAATTAGAGACATAGTTTATAATAATAATTTTAAAAATGTATCTAAAAATTTAAGACCCATGTTCCCATTAACAGAGAAAACTATGTATCATTAGATTACAGTATGTTTGTTTGTAAATTTGGAAGAGGCCAAAAGTAAAAAGATTTTTTTTCAGATTTGATAAGGAGATCTTAGCTTTTCCTGAAGTTTTAGACAAAGATCAGCATGAGTTGCTCCATGATATGCTGGTGCCCATTAAAAAGTTCTTTGAAGAGGAAGGTAAGATCATTAATGTTTGTTTTATTGTTTCTTTCTCACTCCCCTTTACCTGGTTTCCTGTCTGTAGTGAAGGCACAGAAAAGGAAACAACACTGTGATATGCTGGAAAAGCACAATTATCACTAAATAGCCTTGTATTGATTATTTAGTCAAGAAGCGTTATACTTTGTAAGAATTATTTGTCTTTATCATTTTGTATCCAGATATAGTTAGAACTTTTCTGAATCAAAATATTGTAGAATTTTCCATATTAGGAATGATTTATTTAGAGGCTAATGCTATGCTAATTTGATATGTATGATATGCTGCCCATTTCAGTTGATGGCCCAAAGATTGACAAAGATGCAAAGATTCCTCAAGATACCCTGGAAGGCCTAAAGAACCTGGGTCTGTATGGCCAGCAGATTCCTGTGGAATATGGTGGCCTTGGTTTGGGTGCTACTGAGTATGCTAGAATTGCAGAGATCACAGCCATAGATGGGTCCATTGCTGTTACTTTGGCTGCTCACCAGGCTATTGGATTAAAGGTTATGTGCTCATCATTGGAATGTTTGCTAATTTTCCGATATATTGCCAATGGTGTTATTAGATAAATGGTGTAATGTATATAGTTTCATAGGTATAAATTATAGTACGGTGCATAAGATGTAGAAAAAGATATATGTTTATTTTACTGAATTTTCATTATGATGCTTTGTTCATCATTGTTTTTTTTTAAGCAAGCAGTTAATACTGTTAATCCTGTGGTGACAGTTGTTGCTGTCATGACGTAACAGCCTTTGACATGCAAACACATTATGACTCACAATGGGTGGGCTGGCTGTACACAGCTTAGGACTAGCCACAAAGTTTAGACTGTTGCATGATACTATGTCACAAATCAATCTGGCTCCGTCACCATAGGATTAACTAGCGGCTCCAACACTTTAAAATTCTTAATTTTAGTTATTGAATGATAGAACTTGGGATAATGTTAGGTGGATTTCACTCTTTGGCTTCTGTTTTATAAAGTTTTGCTATTTCACCAAGAAGAATTTACTTTTTAAATAGGGTATCCTTATTGCGGGAAATGAAGCCCAAAAGGAGAAGTACCTTCCTCGACTTGCCTGTGGAGAATGGACAGCTGCATTTTGCTTGACTGAACCTAGTTCAGGTTCTGATGCTGCTTCCATTAGGACTCGAGCTACACTGTCAGATGATGGCAAACATTGGTTGCTGAATGGCAGCAAGATCTGGATCTCAAATGGAGGATATGCAGATATGATGACAGTTTTTGCAAAGACAGAGGTAGAAGCTTTTCAGTTATTGATACATTTGTATGACTGATTTTCTTAATTTAGATAGTATGATTTTGATCAAAGACCTAGGTAGTTTCCTGTGATATGATGATATACAGTTTTTTTTTTTAATCTTTGAAGCATAATTTATTTCTTATAGACTAAAACCAGTAAGTGAAATAGTGTTCCAAGATATGTAAAGAATGTTACTTCTCTGCATCTCTGTAAAAAAAAGTAATATGGCAATAAACTTTAGCAGATTGATGAAAGGTATTTAAAGTGAGATGCTAAGAAATTAGAAGAATTGAATAATGAATTGTAAGTTTCTTACACATTCATCAGAGTGAAACATCCAGACGTATAAATCATATTTACCACTAGGCATATGAAGTTAATGCTTTAGGGTTCTTTCTGAAAGGTTGTTCAGCCCAATGGAGAAAAGAAGGACAAGGTGACAGCCTTTATTGTTGAGAGAAACTTTGGAGGCGTTGCAAGTGGGCCACCTGAGGATAAGATGGGCATCAGGGGTTCCAACACATGTGAGGTGAGTGGCTCCTCCTTCTTGGCTTACTGATATTACAGTTACACTGTTGTTAGCAGTATGTGGTTTATTCATTTGTTTTTATTTTGTTTTCAAGTGATTTCTTTTGTCTTTGTATTTTAAATAGATCTACTTATATAATATATTGTTATGTGTAATATATTCCAGTGCTATGTTGTATGATTGTATTTTGTTTAGAAATTCATATGAAAAGACTAAAACTACTGTAGATAATGAAACTTTTAGTAGTTGTAATTTTTCTGATATTGAAAATGTTTCAATGTAGTCATTTATAGTCTTATTCCTGTTTGATATATTGTTATGTGTTAGATAAAGATATCAGTAGATTCTTGAATGTTTGCATACAATTGACCATAAAATTGACCAGTGAAGGGAGTCTATTAGTATCTTTGATTAATGGTCCAGTTTTGTCACAACCAAATGATCAGTCTTATTCTCTTAGTAAATATAACCCAATCTGCCATGAAACCAGCTCACAATAATAGTATATTTAACACTTTCTTTGCCAATAGGATATAAGGCTTGACTTACTTATCTTTGTTCCAGGTGTTCTTTGACAATACACCAGTTCCAGTTGAGAATGTGCTGGGAGAAGTAGGAGGTGGCTTTAAGATCGCCATGAATATCCTAAACTCTGGTCGGTTCTCCATGGGAAGTTCAGGAGCTGGTAAGTTGACTTCGTCTGTGTACTTATGCATGTAAATGTAGTTTGGATAGAGTAGGTGGCAAAAGATAAATGTTGTGTAGATATCCCTTAACAGCTGTTCATTTACTTGATGTTAACCTAACTGTTATTTCAAAAGTGGCAGAACTATTTTTCAGAAATTAATGCTTATATCCTTCTACTTTGTCAGGCATTCTCAAAAAAGTTATGAAGTGGGCACTTGAGCACAGCATGGAACGAAAGCAATTTGGTCGCCATCTCAGTGACTTTGCCTTGATAAGAGAGAAATTTGCACGCATGTCTGTACATATTTATGCCATGGAATCAATGGCATACCTAACGGCAGGTGTCATAGATGGGCAGGAGAACGCAGACTGTTCAGTTGAGGCTGCCATTGTTAAGGTAATGAAAATAACGGTTTCAATATTATGTTAAGCATGATAAAAAGTTCTCATCCCCAAAAGGTTAAGGAAATGTTTTCTTGTTATTAACTACTAATATTACTATTTTTATTGTTATTGTAATTATTTATAAATTATAATTATCACCATTATCATCATCATCAGTTCCGCTGAAAAAGGAGGTAATATTTTTGCACACATTTATTTTCATTGGTTGGTTAACTGGTTTATCTAAGATTATGTGGAACCTGAGGAAAATTTACACATGGTTTAGCCTTGGCCTGGGAACAGTTGATTAAATGTTGGTGGGGATCGAGAATCAAGATCTTGAGCAGATTTGTGGTAAATTTCAAATTTTGGATGTAGGTTAATGATGGTTAGGATAGATTATGGGGAGAAGTTAGGATAGATAACAGCAACAGCTGATGGTGTCCACTCTGTTAATGCATTCTTGTTATTATATGTCATCATGATATTATATATAATTTAACATTACTATTAATCCCTTTTTCCTCCTCTTAGATTTTCAGCTCAGAGGGTGCCTGGCACTGGGGATCTGAGTGCCTGCAGGTGTTAGGAGGCTTAGGCTACATGAAGACCTACCCCTTCGAGAGGTATCTTCGTGATGCGCGCATCCTGCTTATCTTTGAAGGAACAAATGAAATCTTGCGAATGTTTGTTGGACTGAATGGTTAGTTCTTTGATATGGGTGTTATTGTTAATTTTATAAAGTTTTTATTGTTAATCTTGTAATTGTTAGTATATATATATTTTTCAAGTTTAAGATGAGTGTAGATTTTGTTCTGCATTGCTTTTCTGTGTGGTCTGTGTTACTGTCTTTATTTTCTCTTTCTTAAGTTAGGTTTGCATATTCTGAATATGAGGCTGATTGTCATTATCACATTAATAACAGTTTTGACATCCTCTTTTAGGATTAAACAATGACTATAGGCATGATGAGCTTTGTAAATTTAATTTTTCTACACTCACAGGCATTCAGCATGCTGGTGCAGAATTGCGAGACACCGTGAAGAAGCTGCGAAACCCCTTGATGAACCCATCCTTTGTGATTGGCAAAGGTCTAGAGAGGATGCGGCACCAGAAGGACAAGCCCAAACTGGACCTCAACTTGAGTGGCTCCCTACACCCCTCACTCAGTGCTGGAGGAGATGCCCTAGAGTACTGTGTCAAGCGCTTCCAGTATGCTGTGGAGACAGCCCTTGCCAGGCATGGTAGGTTTCATTAACTGTGAGCTGTTTTTCAGTATTTGTGTATGTGAGTGTGAGTGAGAGTGAGAGTGAGAGTGAGAGTGAGTGAGTGAGTGAGAGTGAGTGTGAGTGAGTGAGTATGAGTGGATGAGTGAGTATGAGTATGAGTGTGTGTGTAGTGTGTGTGAGTATGAGTGTGTGTGAGTATGAGTGTGTGTGAGTATGTGTGTGTGTGATGTGTGAGTATGAGTGTGTGTGAGTATGAGTGTGTGTGAGAGTGTGTGAGTGTGTGTGTGTGAGTGTGTGAGTGTGTGAGTGTGTGTGAGTGTGTGTGTGTGTGTGTGTGTGTGTGTGTGTGTGTGTGTGTGTGGTGTGTGTGTGTGTGTGTGTGTGTGAGTGTGGTGAGTGTGAGTGTATGTGTGAGTTGTGTGTGTGTGAGTGTGTGTGTGTGTGGTGTGTGTGTGTGTGTGTGTGTTGTGTGTGTGTGTGTGTGTGTGTGTGTGTGTGGTGTGTGTGTGTGTGTGTGTGTGTGTGTGTGTGTGTGTGTGTGTGTGAGTGTGTGTGTGTGTGTGTGTGTGTGTGTGTGTGTGTGTGTGTGTGTGTGTGTGTGTGTGTGTGTGAGAGAGTGAGTGAGTGAGTGAGTGAGTGTGTGTGTGAGTGAGTGAGTGTGAGTGAGTGTGGGTGAGTGTGTGTGTGTGTGTGTGTGTGTGTGTGTGTGTGTGTGTGTGTGTGTGTGTGTGTGTGTGTATGTTGTGTGTGTGTGTGTGTGTGTGTGTGTGTGTACCGTGTGTGAGTGTGTGTGTGGTGTGTGTGTGTGATGATGTGTGTGTGTGTGTGTGTGTGTGTGTGTGTGTGTGTGTGTTTGTTTGTGTGTGTGTGATGTGTGTGTGGTGTTGTCGTAGTGTTGTGTGTGTGAGTGTGTGTGTGTTGTGTGTGGATGTGTGTGTGTGTGTGTGTGTTGTTGCTGTGGGTGTGTGTGTGTGTGTGTGGTGTGAGAGTGTGTGTGTGTGTATGTGTGTGTGTGTGTGTGACTGTCTGGTGTGTGTGTGTGTGTGTGTTGTGTGTGTGTGTGTGTGAGTGTGAGTGTGTGGTGTGTGTGAGTGTGTGTGTGTGTGGTTGTGTGTGTGTGTGTGTGTGTGTCGGTGTTTATATAGTGTGTTGAAACAGGTACGTGTGGTTTGAAAGCACGTTCTGGTTAGTAACTTATACCTCCCATTGTGGCGAAGATACTGTTTTTCGTAAATTGCTTGTTGCGGTGTGCGCCCGGCTTGAAAACATGTGGTGTAACATCATTGACCCAGCACCAGAGAGTTTCGTGATCTAATCTTTAAGTGGCCGAATACTTATCTACCTCTAGGCAAAAACATCATTGACCCAGCAAACCAGTAGCAATGACTTGCTAACGTGCCATTGACTTTCTGTAGCCATGACTGCTGTGTTAAGTCGTGCATCAAGGTCTTACTCAATTGGGGTGAAAAATGCCGATCATGAGGTGAGTCCTACTGTTCTTCTTGTATTACTTGTTTATTTAAGTTTTAGAAAATCAGGATCGGGTGTAAAGTAATACACTGAAATGAGAATGTGTGAATCTCTTGCCAGAAATCAGTGTGCTGACATCTGGTTGCAAAGAGTTAAAATAAAATAAAATTATCCTTCAAAAGGATAATGCTTTTCTTGAAGGGACAAAGCTTATGTAATTTCATATTTTGAGTTAATCCAAAATGTCTGTCTGATAGAATATTAAATGTGAGTATGTCACTTGTCTCAGGTTCAGCTTGCCATGACCTTCTGCGAAGAGGCTGCAGCACGTATCAAAACCTATGTGAAGGAAGTTGAAGATGGTCCGTTCCTGAATAATGACTCCGTTTATTCCAAGATTGCTGACACCATTATCCAGAACAAGGGCTATGCAGCAGAGCATCCCCTAACACGAGTATTTTGGTAATAACTAAATTTCACCAAGACAAAATGCAAATTTAAAACACCAGTGCTCTTTGTACCTCTCTATCTCAGATTTCTTTTCTTTTGAATCTTCTTAATTGTATATTTATCATGAACTAATGATGGTGCTTGCAATGTTTATGTCATACATTTCAGGGAAAAACTTCAATAATGTGACAAAAGTTAACATGAAAAACTTCATATTAAGATTTCTTTTGTACTAAATGGATAGTTATGTTGAATTATTGACTACTGATTTAGAAAATGTACATGGTTTAATGTTTCCAGTGTATGAAGCCAATGCAATGTATATAAGTGTAAATATAGAGCATGATTCTTTCAGTAAGCATTATTTATGGATCTTGTAAACAAATTCTGCTAGGAGAAATGTGTTTCTGAAAAAGAAATTTGTGCTTTATAGGTGTTCTTTCCCAGTATTGCCAGTGTCTCATACAATGCAGATTTAGCATTTTAACTAGATGTTTGTACTGAATATAGATATATTTTCTTGGATGTATATTGTTTGAAAGAAATAAAATAAAATATGATATCAAAGGTTGCAGTTTGTAGCCCTCCTATTCACGTCACTGGCAAAACTTTATCAGAAAACTTGGGACATGTATAGAGCTGCATTATCTAAAAGGTATTAAGTTGCCACAGCATGAAAGTATGGAAAAGTGAAGCAGAAGCTTGGCAGAGATAAGTGATATACAAGCAGCAATATGGCTTCATGCTAGGGAAAAAACAGGACAGATGCGATGTCTGCACTGAGAGTGTTGATAGGAAATGTTTAAGGAAAACCAGAAGGACTTGCATCGTGTTTCTGTGTATTTAGGGTAGTGTTTCTGAAGCCAGGACCGCGAGGACCTTCTATTATTCATTTAAAAAAATAAAAGGAATATGAAACTACAAAAGTGTTCATCTAGTTTAATTACAAAACAAGTTTGGAATATTAATTCTAATTTATGCTGAGATGACATGTTGGAACCTGAGTTACTTTTTCAGGAAATAAATAAATAAGAGGATGGTGCAGAACATGTCCAGGACAATGTGACAGCAATGAGGTGAATGAACAGTGGGAATGACGGACGAGTTGGAGGTCAGATTATATATAAAAAAATATGTTTGCATTGATCGACCGAAGAAATGAGACTGGAGTCTCCATGAACCATGGTGCTCGTGAATGACACTAGATGGAGAGCAGGGAGCAGGGTAAGGAGTACCAGGAGAGAAGGGGAATGAAAGAAAGTGGGAGCAGGAAGAGTACTTGCGCAAAAGGGAGGAAGGGCGGTGGAACTGGTGCTTGCACGGAGTAGAGTGAAGGTGGACGAGTTTGAAGACTTCGGGTTAAGTGGTCGAAGTAATGGAACTTGGGATAAGGTACAAAAGAGAGTGCCGTTAGCGTGCAGTGGTTCTAGAAGGATGACGGGAGTGATTTGTGAAAGAAGGGTAGGTGGGACGAGTGTGAAGANAGAGAGAGAGATGAGAGAGAGAGAGAGGAGAGGAGAGAGAGAGAGAACGAGAAAGATGAGAGAGAGAGAGAGAGAGAGAGAGAGAGAGAGAGCGAGAGAGAGGAGAGAGAGAGAGAGAAGAGAGAGGAGATTACAAGAGAGAGAGAGAGGAGGAATGAAAAAGATTAAGAAGAAAGAAAAAGACAAACAGAAAGAATTGACATTTAACTTATGTAACACGCTGAAATATTCAGTGATAGTCACAGGATCTTGGATGAGCTTAACAACACTGGTTCATTATACAACAGAAAATTCTTTATTATATTCTTTTACAGTGAAAAACTTTTTTTTTTTTCTTTTACAGTGAAAAACAACAGATAACATTTTTTTTTTTTGTGCTATTTCCTGAAAAAAAACACAGAACATTATTTTTTTTTCTATTTCCAGTGAAAAACACAGAACATTTTTTCTTTATTACATGTTATCATTTTACCAGTGAAAAAACGCAGAATTTATTTTTCTATTTTGTCCTAAACTGAAGAAAGAACCTATTTTTTTTTTTTTTTACAGTGACAGATACATTATGAAACAACAACACAGCTTAGTATTCATATTTCAGGAATGATCTACTTTCATCCCGATACTCATGCAAAACCGCACTCATCCATCGCCGATATTCGCTCTACACAACCATCCCTTCAACCACACAACCTTGTGTGTGTGTGTGTGTGTGTGTGTGTGTGTGTGTGTGTGTGTGTGTGTGTGTGTGTGTGTGTGTGTGTGTGTGTCTTCAACCACACAACCATCTATTCAACCATCCATCACTAATACTCATCCGGCACAAAGTCGATCTATTACGGATACTCATCCAACGAAATAGGCATCCAGAGTCGATACTCACCCAAGAACTATTCACCCACTCACTCAAAACCCGATACTCACCCACCCCACAGCTCAGTTTTCATTGATATTCACTCAACATCAATCATCCAACACCGGTACTCACCCAGCCTAACGACCATTCATCCACCTATTCAAACACGATACTCATCCATAATATTCACACAACACAAATCATCCAAAAACCGATACTCACTCTATACAATAACATCACATCCGTCATTGATATTCACGCAATACTCACAAGCATCTAATGCCGATACTCACCCGACCTAACAACCATCTTATCATCCGTTAGCGATTACTCACCCAGTCCCAACATCCATTCATCCGCCACGATACTCGACCAACACAACAAAGTTTCACCCATATAACCATCCGTATACCGTACTCACCCAACCATTAACGATTCACCCATACTCTCAGTCCACCAGAAACGTAACAATTACTCATAACGACCTTATAACCTAACAAACCATTCATCCGTCACCGATACTCCAAACCTACGATCATCCCACCCAACCTAACGACCATTCACTAACCTAACAACCATTCATCCGTCAAATACTCACCCAACCAACGACCATTCACTAACCTAACAACCACTCATCCGTCACCGATACTCTCTCAACCTAACGACCATTCACTAACCTAACAACCATTCATCCGTCACCGATACTCACCCAACCTAACGACCATTCAAGCACATACTCACCCACCTAACGGCCATTCACTAACCCTAACACCATTCATCCGTCACCGATACTCACCCAACCTAAACGACCATTCACTAACCTAACAACCATTCATCCGTCACATACTCACCCAACCTAACGACCATTCACTAACCTAACAACCATTCATCCGTCACCGATACTCACCCACCCTAACGACCATTCACTAACCTAACAACCATTCATCCGTCACAATACTCACCCAACCTAACGACCATTCACTAACCTAACAACCATTCATCCGTCACCGATACTCACCCAACCTAAACGACCATTCACAACCTAACAACCATTCATCCGTCTATACACCCCAACCTACGACCATTCACCTAACCTAACAACCATCATCCGTCACCGATACTCACCCAACCTAACGACCATTCACTAACCTAACAACCATTCATTCCGTCACCCATACTCACCCACCTAACGACCATTCATAACCTAACCAACCATTTCATCCGTCACCGATACTCACCCAACCTAACGACCATTCACTAACCTAACAACCATTCATCCGTCCACCGATACTACCAACCTAACGACCGTTCACTAACCTCAACAACCATTCATCCGTCACATACGACCATTCACTAACCTAACAACATTCATCCAATACTCACCAACCTAACCCATTCACTAACCTAACAACCATTCATCCTCACCGATACTCACCCACCTAACGACCATTCACTAAACCTAACAACCATTCACCGTCACCGATTACTCACCCAACCTAACGACCATTCACTAAACCTAACAAACCATTCCGTCACATACCTCACCAACCTAACACCATTCATCCGTCACCGCATACTCACCCAACTAACGACCATTCACCTAACCTAACAACATTCATCGTCACAATACTCACCCAACCTAACGACCATTCACGAAAACGTCACAGATACTCACCCAACCTTTTCATCCGTCACCGATACTCTAACGACCAACACTAACCTAACAACCATTCATCCGTCACCGATACTCACCCAACCTAACGACCATTTCACTAACCTAAACAACCATTCATCCGTCACGATACTCACCCAACCTAAACGACCATTCACTAACCTAACAACCATTCATCCGTCACCGACCATTCACCCAACCTTTCATCCGTCACCGATACTCACCCAACCTAACGCCATTCACTAACCTAACAACCATTCATCCGTCACCGATACTCACCCAACTAACGACCATTCACTAACCTAACAACCATTCATCCGTCACCGATACTCACCCAACCTAACGGCCATTCACTAACCTAACAACCATTCATCCGTCACCTCACCCACCTAACGACCATTCACTAACCTAACAACCATTCATCCGTCACCGATACTCACCCAACCTAACGACCATTCACTAACCTAACAACCATTTCATCCGTCACCGATACTCACCCAACCTAACGACCATTCACTAACCTAACGTCACTATACTCACCCAAACCTAACGACCATTCACCGTCACTATACTCACCCAACCTAACGACCATTCGGACATTTCACCGTCACCGATACACCCAACCTAACGACCATTCACCCTAACAACCATTCATCCGTCACAGACTCACCCAACCTAACGACCATTCACTAACCTAACAACCATTCATCCGTCACCGATACTCAACCCAACCTAACGACCATCAAACCGAACCATTCATCCGTCACCGATACTCACCCAACCTAACGACCATTCACTAAACCTAACAACCACTCATCCGTCACCGATACTCACCCAACCTAACGACCATTCACTAACCTAACAACCATTCATCCGTCACCGATACTCACCCAACCTAACGACCATTCACTAACCTAACAACCATTCATCCGTCACCGATACTCACCCAACCTAACGACCATTCACTTACCTAACAACCATCATCCGTCACCGATACTCACCCAACCTAACGACCATTCACTAACCTAACAACCATTCATCCGTCACCGATACTCACCCAACCTAACGACCATTCAACTAACCTAACAACCATCATCCGTCACATACTCACCCAACCTAACGACCATTCACTACCTAAACAACCACCATCCGTCACCATACTCACCCAACCTAACGACCATTCACTAACCTAACAACCATTCATCCGTCACCGATACTCACCCAACCTAACGACCATTCACTAACCTAACAACCATTCATCCGTCACCGATACTCACCCAACCTAAACGACCATTCACTAACCTAACAACCATTCATCCGTCACCGATACTCACCCAACCTAACGACCATTCACTAACCTAAACCATTCATCAGTCACAGATACTCACCTAACGACCATTCACTAACCTAACAACCATTCATCCGTCACTACTCACCCACCTAACGACCATCACTACCTAACAACCATTCATCGTCACAATACTCACCAACCTAACGACCATTCACTAACCTAACAACCATTCATCCGTCACCGATACTCACCCAACCTAACGACCAT